AGAAGATTTCAGGCAAACATTACTACCTGTTGTTCCTCGATACAAGTCCGTCGACACTGTTGAGAAACCAGATGAAGCGGTTAGTTATCCAACTGAATTATTGAATTCACTCGATCTGCCAGGGATACCATTACACGTACGGCAATTGAAAATCTGCGTGCCAATTATGTTGCGAAATATCAATCAGCTAAAGCTATGCAACGCCATGCACCTTGCAGTAAGAAAATAATCAGCAACGTCGTAGAAGCAACAATCTTGACAGGACCTTTCAAAGGTGAAGATGTCCTTATTCCTCACATTCCTATGATTCCAACAGATATGCCATTTCAATTTAAGATATTGTAATTTCCAATTCGATTGGCGTTTGCAATTACCATCAACAAAGCTCAGTACCAATCTTTAGAATTGTGCAGTTTATATCTAGACACGGAATGCTTCTCATAGGGACAGTTATATGTTGCGTGTCCCAGAGTTGGCAAACTAGACAATCTCTATATCTCCACAGACAATGGAACCACAAAACATATTGAATACCCACAAGCATTGTGAAATTAAACATATTTGAAACATGCACTTTCTCTTTTCTTTCTTTACCATTTACAAAGGCAGAGCCACAGCAACGCATGGCGGGTACAGCTAGTATATATATATATATATATATATATATATATATATATATATATATATATATATATATATATATATATATATATATATATATATATATGTTTGCCAAACTCCAACTCCGCATTGGAGTTGCCCTTCGCCTTGCCGCCCCCATCCTCACCGAACATAGGTGCATCTGCGGAACTGCGATGGCAGACCAATATGGTCGTCATGGTCTGGTATGTCGTAAATCACAGGGTAAAATTGCAAGACATGAAGAAGTCAACGACATCATCAAGAGGAGCCTCGCCACAGCCCGCTGCCCGGCACAAAGAGAACCACACTTATCCAGACATAACGACCCTCAGAAGCGCCCTGATGGGGTCACCTTGCTACCTTGGAAGGATGGTAAGCAAGTGGTATGGGACTACACGTGCGCTGTATATCTGTAACCATCAAATGCTTAATAAAGCACAAAAAATAAAAAAGGAAGGGGGTGGTAGGAGAAAAGCACACAGAAACTGTATTGGAGGGGATCTAAACATTCCCTCTAATGCGTTATGTGTGGTTTCCTCCGAGGCTATGGGTCCCCCTTCTTCCAGCTAGAGGTGGTACTCCCTTCCTATATATATATCTATATATATATATCTATATATATATATATATATATATATATATATATATATATATATATATATATATATATATATATATATATATAATATGCAGAATAACCACATGTGAAAAATAGAAAATGCTTAACGCGTTTTCGGCTAATTCGCCTTCATCAGAGCAAAGTAGAATTTTTTTTCTATTTTTCACATGTGGTTATTCTGCATACTTGGATCAGTGTTTTTGTGATCATTGTTGCATATATATATATATATATATATATATATATATGTCGTACCTAGTAGCCAGAACGCACTTCTCAGCCTACTATGCAAGGCCCGATTTGCCTAATAAGCCAAGTTTTCATGAATTAATGTTTTTTCGACTACCTAACCTACCTAACCTAACCTAACCTAACTTTTTCGGCTACCTAACCTAACCTATAAAGATAGGTTAGGTTAGGTTAGGTAGGGTTGGTTAGGTTCGGTCATATATCTACGTTAATTTTAACTTCAATAAAAAAAAATGACGTCATACATAATGAATTGGGTAGCTTTATCATTTCATAAGAAAAAAAATTGAGAGAATATATTAATTCAGGAAAACTTGGCTTATTAGGCAAATCGGGCCTTGCATAGTAGGCTGAGAAGTGCGTTCTGGCTACTAGGTACGACATATATATATATATATATGTCGTACCTAGTAGCCAGAACGCACTTCTCAGCCTACTATGCAAGGCCCGATTTGCCTAATAAGCCAAGTTTTCCTGAATTAATATATTCTCTCAATTTTTTTCTTATGAAATGATAAAGATACCCATTTCATTATGTATGAGGTCAATTTTTTTTATTGGAGTTAAAATTAACGTAGATATATGACCAAACCTAACCAACCCTACCTAACCTAACCTAACCTATCTTTATAGGTTAGGTTAGGTTAGGTAGCCGAAAAAGTTAGGTTAGGTTAGGTTAGGTAGGTTAGGTAGTCGAAAAACAATTAATTCATGAAAACTTGGCTTATTAGGCAAATTTGGCCTTGCATAGTAGACTGAGAAGTGCGTTCTGGCTATTAGGTACGACATATATATATATATATATATATATATATATATATATATATATATATATATATATATATATATATATATATCGACACAGGCACAGTATCCCACTCTCCGCGGGCTTTGTGTCGACGCCCCTCACTTGCCAGGTCGTGCACAATTGTTCTCACGTAGGGTGAACGAACAGACACAATGTTATGTTCTAGTAAGCACTTCACACGGCTCTGGTTAATTAAATACACGCACCAAGCAACGCGTCCTCTGGCGCGCGCGCACGCACACACACACACACATACACACACACACACACACACACAGACCAGTGTCCCTAACCTGCATACCATGCAAGTTGATGGAGAAGATTGTGCGAAGAAAGCTAGTGGAACATCTGGAGCGAAAGAACTTTGTAACACAGCATCAACATGGATTCAGGGATGGCAGGTCCTGCCTCACAGGGTTACTTGAATTCTACGACCAGGCAACACAAATAAGGCAAGAAAGAGAAGGGTGGGCAGATTGCATATTTTTGGATTGTCAGAAAGCCTTTGACACAGTGCCACACAAGAGGCTAGTGAAAAAACTGGAGATGCAGGCTGGAGTGAAAGGGAAGGTACTCCGTTGGATACAGGAGTACCTAAGTAACAGGAGACAACGAGTCAGTGTGAGGGGTGAGGTCTCAGATTGGCGAGACGTTACGAGTGGAGTACCGCAGGGGTCAGTCCTTGGACCTATACTGTTTCTGATATATGTAAATGATCTTCCAGAGGGTATAGAATCGTTTCTCTCAATGTTTGCCGATGATGCAAAAATTATGAGGAGGATTGAAACTGAGGACGATAGTAGGAGGCTACAAGATGACCTAGACAGACTGAGTGAATGGTCCAACAAATGGCTGTTGAAGTTCAACCCGAGTAAATGCAAAGTAATGAAACTAGGAGGTGGAAATAGGAGGCCAAACACAGGATACAGAATAGGAGATGAAGTACTTAATGAAACGAACAGAGAGAAAGATCTAGGAGTTGATATCACACCAAACCTGTCTCCTGAAGCCCACATAAAAAGAATAACGTCTGCGGCATATGCGAGGCTGGCTAACATCAGAACAGCGTTCAGGAACCTGTGTAAGGAATCATTCAGAATCTTGTACACCACATATGTAAGACCAATCCTGGAGTATGCGGCCCCAGCATGGAGCCCGTACCTTGTCAAGCACAAGACGAAGCTGGAAAAAGTCCAAAGGTATGCCACTAGACTAGTCCCAGAACTAAGAGGCATGAGTTACGAGGAAAGGCTGCGGGAAATGCACCTTACGACACTGGAAGACAGAAGAGTAAGGGGAGACATGATCACAACCTACAAAATCCTCAGAGGAATCGACCGGGTAAACAAGGATAAACTATTCAACACTGGTGGGACGCGAACAAGGGGACACAGGTGGAAACTGAGTACTCAGATGAGCCACAGAGACGTTAGAAGGAACTTTTTTAGTGTCAGAGTAGTTAACGGATGGAATGCATTAGGCAGTGATGTGGTGGAGGCTGACTCCATACACAGTTTTAAATGTAGATATGATAGAGCCCAGTAGGCTCAGGAATCTGTACACCAGTTGATTGGCAGTTGAGAGGCGGGACCAAAGAGCCAAAGCTCAACCCCCGCAAGCACAAATAGGTGAGTACAAATAGGTGAGTACACACACACACACACACACACACACACACACACACACACACACACACACACACACACACACACGAGTTACGAGGAAAGGCTGCGGGAAATGCACCTTACGACACTAGAAGACAGAAAAGTAAGGGGGGACATGATCACAACCTACAAAATCCTCAGGGGAATCGACCGGGTAAACAAGGATGAACTATTCAACACTGGAGGGACGCGAACACAGGTGGGGACACAGGTGGAAGCTGAGTACCCAAATGAGCCACAGAGACATTAGAAAGAACTTTTTCAGTGTCAGAGTAGTTAGTAAATGGAATGCATTAGGCAGTGATGTGGTGGAGGCTGACTCCATACACAGTTCCAAATGTAGATATGATAGAGCCCAGTAGGCTCAGGAATCTGTATACCAGTTGATTGACAGTTGAGAGGCGGGACCAAAGAGCCACAGCTCAACCCCTGCAGACACAACTAGGTGAGTACACACACACAACGATGGTTCTGCCCGGAGATCTCTGGCGGCCATCTCAGACAATCCCCAGATCGATTACGCGGGAAATGTAAATCGTTATTTTTATGGGGCCAATCACCTGGAATGGTCGGTACAGCGCCGACCTGGCTTCTTGCAGGTCCGCGTTTGATCCCCGACCGTCCAAATGGATGAGCTGGGCTGCTGCCTGTGTATTTCCCGCTGATATTCACCAGGAGACCGGGACAAGGGTTATAACCTCGCCTCGTGAACAGTGTCAAGAGCAGCAGCCTCTCCAGGAGCTGTGAGAGAGGAAGAGGTGGATGCTGCAAGAGGAGACCGGACCCCCCCCCCCACATCTCCTTTAAGACCAGAGCCTGTTGGCGCCTCGTCTGTTTGTTCTGGCGGAGACTTTGTATCAACAGGTGATTGATTAATGGTTATCAGCGGCGGCAGACAGCTATAGTCTGCGTCTCCCCCCCCCGCCCCCCTGCGGCTGACTGCGTCAACGCCTCCTGCAGCGGCGCGCCCACTCTCTCCCTAGCTACTGCCTGCCCCTCCTGCCCTGCGTCACGCAGGATGCTCTGCGTCACGCGGGATTACCAGCGTCACGCAGGATGCTCTGCGTCACGAGGGATTACCAGCGTCACGCAGGATGCTCTGCGTCATGCGGGATGGCCTGCGTCACGCGGGATGCCCTGCGTCACGCGGGATGCCCTGCGTCACTCGGGATGCCCTGCGTCACGCGGGATGGCCTGCGTCACGCGGGATGGCCTGCGTCACTCGGGATGCCCTGCGTCACTCGGGATGCCCTGCGTCACACGGGATGGCCTGCGTCACTCGGGATGCCCTGCGTCACTCGGGATGCCCTGCGTCACGCGGGATGGCCTGCGTCACGCGGGATGCCCTGCGTCACTCGGGATGCCCTGCGTCACGCGGGATGGCCTGCGTCACTCGGGATGCTCTGCGTCACGAGGGATTACCAGCGTCACGCAGGATGCTCTGCGTCATGCGGGATGGCCTGCGTCACGCGGGATGCCCTGCATCACGCGGGATGCCCTGCGTCACTCGGGATGCCCTGCGTCACTCGGGATGCCCTGCGTCACGCGGGATGGCCTGCGTCACTCGGGATGCCCTGCGTCACGCGGGATGCTCTGCGTCACGCGGGATGCCCTGCGTCACGCGGGCTGCCCTGCGTCACGCGGGCTGCCATGCGTCACACGGGATGGCCTGCGTCACGCGGGATGGCCTGCGTCGCGCGGGCTGCCATGCGTCACACGGGATGCCCTGCGTCACGCGGGATGCCCTGCGTCACGCGGGATGGCCTACGTCACACGGGATGCCCTGCGTCACGCGGGATGCCCTGCGTCACGCGGGATGGCCTGCGTCACGCGGGATGGCCTGCGTCACGCGGGATGCCCTGCGTCACGCGGGATGGCCTACGTCACACGGGATGCCCTGCGTCACGCGGGATGCCCTGCGTCACACGGGATGGCCTGCGTCACGCGGGATGCCCTGCGTCACGCGGGATGGCCTACGTCACACGGGATGCCCTGCGTCACGCGGGATGCCCTGCGTCACACGGGATGGCCTGCGTCACGCGGGATGCCCTGCGTCACGCGGGCTGCCCTGCGTCACTCGGGATGCCCTGCGTCACGCGGGATGCCCTGCGTCACGCGGGATGGCCTACGTCACACGGGATGCCCTGCGTCACGCGGGATGCCCTGCGTCACACGGGATGGCCTGCGTCACGCGGGATGCCCTGCGTCACGCGGGCTGCCATGCGTCACACGGGATGCCCTGCGTCACGCGGGATGCCCTGCGTCACGCGGGATGGCCTGCGTCACACGGGATGGCCTGCGTCACGCGGGATGGCCTGCGTCACACGGGATGGCCTGCGTCACGCGGGATGGCCTGCGTCACACGGGATGGCCTGCGTCACGCGGGATGCCCTGCGTCACGCGGGCTGCCATGCGTCACACGGGATGCCCTGCGTCACGCGGGATGCCCTGCGTCACGCGGGATGCCCTGCGTCGCGCAGGCTGCCCTGCGTCACACGGGATGCCCTGCGTCACGCGGGATGCCCTGCGTCACGCGGGATGGCCTGCGTCACACGGGATGGCCTGCGTCACACGGGATGGCCTGCGTCACACGGGATGGCCTGCGTCACGCGGGATGGCCTGCGTCACACGGGATGGCCTGCGTCACGCAGGCTGCCTTGCGTCACAACAAAGGTCTTGGAAGGACCGAAACGTCGTCATGGTCAGGGGATCTCGGTAGTACAGTGGGCTTCGTTCCCGACTCAAATTGGGACTTCCGGGTTCGTATCCCGGACGGAACAGAAATAGTTGGGCGCGTTTCCTGTCACCTCATGCACCTGTTCACCTAGCAGCAAATAGGTATACTCAGGAGTTAGCTCTTGGTGGGGTTGCATCCTGGGCGGCGGCTGGGGTTCGAACCTAGGAGGATGGGTGGGAACTATCAGGGGACCGCGCTAAGCCATTACGACCATATAGTACTGGGATAAGGATTTGGGATGGGACGGGGGGAAGGAATGGTACCCAACCACTTGGACTGTTGGGTGATTGAACGACAACCTGCATGAAGCGAGACCGTCGCTCTACCGTCCCGAATAAGCGATATAAATCTAACTTGTATATATGTTATCTGATGGTAAAGCGTTGGTGTTCGGCTGTTTCAAAAGCTAGGGGCAGGGCCTCGTTACATAATAAAAAAAAAGAAAAGTTGGTCCTTTCGTCTGTGGTAAGGTAATGGGAAGACACACAAAACACAAGTATATAAACAATGAAATTTTAATTACTCTAGTAAAACAAAACATGAATAAAGTTAATCACATAAAAATATGAAAGACAAGTCAACAAACAAAATAACATGAATAATCACTGGCAAATGAAAAATTACGTTAAGACAAGTAAGTAACAGTGATAGCAAAATAAAATATTAGTGGTGCTGAAATACTGGCTTCGAGCTGCCACCTCCCTTAGTACACGAAAGCCAAGGCTTAGTCTACCAGCGAGAGATGTCAACTGCTTGGAGCACTGAGATATTCTGATGATACTGCCACACTGCAGCCCAAACATCGACTTGTGGTGGCGGCGGAGGGCAGGTGCGACGGGACACCAGCCAATCAGCGACAGGCAGGCAGAGGATGAGTAGTTAGCTGGTTACGGCGATGGTAGCAGGTGTCACTGTGTGCTGGGTATGATTTGCTCTCTGGGCAAAACGTTTGGCGATACTTGGTGGACGTATTTTCTATATTATCTTGTATATTGACGTACTTATGTAGGGAAGAGCAGGCTCAATCTCTCTTGAAAGAGATTATCGTCACAATATATACTGGCTGAACTGAACATTGTACAACAGGCTGAATGTACTGCCCACTGGCAGATGATGCAGCCACCATAGGGAAGCCCAAAACGTTCACGAACTGGGGCATCAATATATATTTGTGCCGATGTCATGCGACTCCTGGCACCAAGGTGCAAGCGTGCCATGAACATTCCCAAAGAATTGACTCATTAACAGTACCAGAGACCCAAGGGCTGCCAGTTTCAGTGTGGCGACCCAGAGGGGGAACGCCTGCTCTATCCTCGGTCCCTGCCCGGAATCTGAGGAGCTCCAAGAGACTCACAACTTTCGACCATTATAATCCTTAACCTGCAAATATAAATCTTAGTGGAGACTTAGAAGGTCCTTCTGGAATTCTTGTCTCCTGTCGTAAGGGTAATACATCAAAAGTGATTTGTGACACAGCCTCCATACTGTGTCAGATGGAGCGGTGGGGGGTTGTGGGGGGCTCCAGGAGTTTGTGGCACAGTTTGCTGTGTGTCAAAAGAGAAATAGGAAGTATTGGGACCTCGGGGTGGCTGGGCGCTTGCAAAAGTCTCACTGTTTTTGTATATTCTATTGTGACTGTAACGGAAATGTGAAGACAAAAAAGTGAAACACAGAAAGAGAGAATTGCGCGGTGTACAGTTCAGAATTTGTTCTTAAAATATTTGGTTCTATATCACACTTGTTTTCAAATAATATTCCTGAATATTTTTCATCTCTTAAACAATACACCGGTTTATCTTTTTAGCATTTTGTCAATAATCTATTAAAAGTTAATCAATAATTTGCAGGGATGGAATGTCTAATGGACAGTTGAGAGTGATGAAACATCTTGCAAAAGCGGATAGACGACAGACTAAGAATGGCATTATTCCTTGGGGATATTCCACGTGACTCTTCCGGGCCACAAAGCAGAGTCACCTCCGGTTTGACTCCATCTGTCGTAGAATTTAGCCAACATTGCAGACCCAGAGCTGATATCGAGATGCGTCTGCTATTGGGGTTAAAATAACGTTTAGAAATCATAGTCTGGTGTATAGGTGAGTATGAACTTTGTACACACAGCATACTGTATTTCACGTGGCATAGAACCTGACTCGTAAAATTGATCATAGAACAGAGTATAGTTTTGATCTATTGTATTTACTAAATTTTATACAACGCTAATGGTGTCGCAGCTCCAAATAGATTTGTTTATAAAACAATCAAACACAATTTGCTTTGTGCAATCGACAGGATTTCTTAAATTAATATAAATCTTAGTGATCAAAGAGTTATATATACTGATGGAGTTTTTCCTGTGATCTGTAGAGGGCACATATTGTGACCTGTGTGTGGTGACGGTGGTGGTGACGGTGGTGTTGACGGTGGTGGTGACGGTGGTGGTGACTGTGGTGGTGACTGTGGTGGTGACTGTGGTGGTGACTGTGGTGGAGACGGTGGTGGTGACTGTGGTGGTGACTGTGGTGGTGACTGTGGTGGTGACTGTGGTGGTGACTGTGGTGGAGACGGTGGTGGAGACGGTGGTGGAGACGGTGGTGGTGACGGTGGTGGTGACTGTGGTGGTGACGGTGGTGGTGACGGTGGTGGTGACAGTGGTGTTGACGGTGGTGGTGACGGTGGTGGTGACTGTGGTGGTGACTGTGGTGGTGACTGTGGTGGTGACTGTGGTGGAGACGGTGGTGGTGACGGTGGTGGTGACTGTGGTGGTGACTGTGGTGGTGACTGTGGTGGTGACTGTGGTGGTGACTGTGGTGGTGACTGTGGTGGTGACTGTGGTGGAGACGGTGGTGGTGACTGTGGTGGTGACTGTGGTGGTGACTGTGGTGGTGACTGTGGTGGAGACGGTGGTGGAGACGGTGGTGGTGACAGTGGTGGAGACGGTGGTGGTGACTGTGGTGGTGACTGTGGTGGTGACTGTGGTGGAGACGGTGGTGGTGACGGTGGTGGTGACTGTGGTGGTGACTGTGGTGGTGACTGTGGTGGAGACGGTGGTGGTGACTGTGGTGGTGACTGTGGTGGTGACTGTGGTGGTGACTGTGGTGGAGACGGTGGTGGTGACTGTGGTGGTGACTGTGGTGGTGACTGTGGTGGTGACTGTGGTGGAGACGGTGGTGGTGACTGTGGTGGTGACGGTGGTGGTGACTGTGGTGGTGACTGTGGTGGTGACTGTGGTGGAGACGGTGGTGGTGACTGTGGTGGTGACTGTGGTGGAGACGGTGGTGGTGACTGTGGTGGAGACAGTGGTGGAGACGGTGGTGGAGACGGTGGTGGTGACTGTGGTGGTGACTGTGGTGGTGACTGTGGTGGAGACGGTGGTGGTGACTGTGGTGGTGACTGTGGTGGTGACTGTGGTGGTGACTGTGGTGGTGACTGTGGTGGAGACGGTGGTGGTGACTGTGGTGGTGACTGTGGTGGAGACAGTGGTGGTGACTGTGGTGGAGACGGTGGTGGTGACTGTGGTGGTGACTGTGGTGGAGACGGTGGTGGAGACAGTGGTGGAGACAGTGGTGGTGACGGTGGTGGTGACAGTGGTGGAGACGGTGGTGGTGACGGTGGTGGTGACTGTGGTGGAGACAGTGGTGGAGACAGTGGTGGTGACTGTGGTGGTGACGGTGGTGGTGACTGTGGTGGAGACGGTGGTGGAGACGGTGGTGGAGACAGTGGTGGAGACAGTGGTGGTGACGGTGGTGGTGACAGTGGTGGAGACGGTGGTGGTGACGGTGGTGGTGACTGTGGTGGAGACAGTGGTGGAGACAGTGGTGGTGACTGTGGTGGTGACGGTGGTGGTGACTGTGGTGGAGACGGTGGTGGAGACGGTGGTGGAGACAGTGGTGGAGACAGTGGTGGAGACGGTGGTGGTGACGGTGGTGGTGACTGTGGTGGAGACGGTGGTGGAGACGGTGGTGGTGACTGTGGTGGAGACGGTGGTGGTGACAGTGGTGGAGACAGTGGTGGAGACAGTGGTGGTGACGGTGGTGGTGACAGTGGTGAAGACGGTGGTGGTGACAGTGGTGGAGACGGTGGTGGAGACAGTGGTGGAGACAGTGGTGGTGACAGTGGTGGAGACGGTGGTGGTGACTGTGGTGGTGACGGTGGTGGTGACAGTGGTGGAGACGGTGGTGGAGACAGTGGTGGAGACAGTGGTGGAGACGGTGGTGGAGACGGTGGTGGTGACGGTGGTGGTGACGGTGGTGGTGACTGTGGTGGTGACTGTGGTGGAGACGGTGGTGGTGACTGTGGTGGTGACTGTGGTGGAGACGGTGGTGGAGACAGTGGTGGAGACAGTGGTGGAGACGGTGGTGGAGACGGTGGTGGAGACGGTGGTGGTGACGGTGGTGGTGACGGTGGTGGTGACGGTGGTGGTGACGGTGGTGGTGACGGTGGTGGTGACTGTGGTGGTGACTGTGGTGGAGACGGTGGTGGAGACAGTGGTGGAGACAGTGGTGGAGACGGTGGTGGAGACGGTGGTGGTGACGGTGGTGGTGACGGTGGTGGTGACGGTGGTGGTGACGGTGGTGGTGACGGTGGTGGTGACTGTGGTGGTGACTGTGGTGGAGACGGTGGTGGAGACAGTGGTGGAGACAGTGGTGGAGACGGTGGTGGTGACGGTGGTGGTGACGGTGGTAGTGACGGTGGTGGTGACGGTGGTGGTGACTGTGGTGGTGACTGTGGTGGAGACGGTGGTGGAGACAGTGGTGGAGACAGTGGTGGAGACGGTGGTGGAGACGGTGGTGGAGACGGTGGTGGTGACGGTGGTGGTGACGGTGGTGGTGACGGTGGTGGTGACGGTGGTGGTGACGGTGGTGGTGACGGTGGTGGTGACTGTGGTGGTGACTGTGGTGGAGACGGTGGTGGAGACGGTGGTGGAGACAGTGGTGGAGACGGTGGTGGAGACGGTGGTGGAGACGGTGGTGGTGACGGTG